AATGATAATCAATCTGAATATGCTTGCTGCGAGCATGCTGAACAGGATTAGCAGTCAAATAGGAAGCTGAGATATTGTCACAAAATAAATGCACAGGGTCACGGATAGAGTAACCGAGCTCAAATAGGACCGAACGTATGTGAAGGGTGTCCTGTACTGTGTATGCTATGGCTCGGTATTCGGCCTCTGTAGAAGACTTGGACACCGTAGGTTGCTTCTTGGATTTCCAAGATACCAGGTTAGGACCGAGAAAAATAGCAAAACCTGTGGTAGAGCGGGAAGTATCTGGACAGCCTGCCCAATCAGCATCAGAGTAGGCGAAAATACACAAGGAACGAGCTGACTTTTGAAGCCATAATCCATGATCAATGGTACCCTGCAAATAACGAAATATGCGCTTGACAGCAAGCATGTGAGTGGTGCGTGGGGCATGCATAAACTGAGACACTAAATGAACTGCATAAGTAATATCAGGTCTTGTCAAAGTTAAATACTGCAATGCACCTACCATACTACGATATTCCGTAGCATCAGCAAGAAGTTCACCATCAGTGAGGGAGAGAGATGTACGAGTGGCGACTGGGGTACGAACAGACTTGAGAGTATGTAAGTGGAAACGAAGGAGAAGATCAGAAACATATTTTTGTTGAGACAAGAAAACTCCTTTAGAATTTCGAACAGCCTGGACTCCCAAGAAATAATGAAGATCACCGAGATCTTTCATAGCAAAGTGAGAAGCAATACATGTAATAAAAGAGGACACAAGAGATGAAGAATTTCCAGTAATAATAATATCATCCACATATAATAATAAATACATAACTGACTGACCTTGACGATAAATAAATAAAGAATTATCTGACTTACTACACACAAAATTATGAGTAAGTAAGAAACTACTAAAACGGTGAAACCATGCCCGCGGGGCCTGTTTGAGACCATATATGGCCTTTCGCAAACGACACATATGATGAGGAAACTGTGGATGAACAAAACCCCGCGGCTGACGCATATAGACCTCTTCCGTAAGATGACCATGAAGGAATGCATTTTTGACATCTAATTGACGCATAACCCACCCAAAAGAAATAGCAAGAGTAAGAACAATACGAACAGTGGTGGGTTTAACAACAGGACTAAAAGTCTCAGAGAAATCTACGCCAGCCTGCTGATTAAATCCTTGAGCAACTAAACGTGCTTTATGGCGCTCAATAGACCCATCGGAGTTAAACTTAGTTTTATAAATCCATTTAGACCCAACCACATTTTTAGAGCTATCAAATGGAACTAAATCCCAAGTATTATTGGAAATAAGTGCATTAAATTCATCCGCCATAGCCTCACGCCAAATTAAATGTTTTTGTGCTTCAGAAAAACAAGTCGGATCAGCTACACTAACAACTGTGTTTAATGTAAAAATTGATTTGGGTTTAAAAATACCAGACTTGGCTCGGGTTTGCATAGGATGCAAATTAAATCGGGGTATAAGTGGGCTGGTGGTAGGAGGGGAAGCTGAACCGGCCGAAGTGGCCGAGGGTGGGGAGGATGGTGGACAAGACTGGTGACTAGACTGGTCGTGGGCTGAGGTGGCCGAGGGTGGGGAGGGTGGTGGACTGATCTGGTCATTTGCTGGGAGAGCCGAAGGTGTGTGAATAGGGCTGGTCGCAGGTGTTTCTGGAGAGCAGATGACCGTGGGTGGATTTTGACTATGTGTAGAAGAAGAGGAGTATGATAGAGGGAGGGAGGATGTTAAGGGAACCTGGGGAGTGAGGCGAGGTTGGGGTATATGTGGCCTAAGAGTATTAGTGAGGAAGAAATCGGAATTGACAGTAGAAGTAGAATTGGAGGAGGTTGACTCAGGTGGAGAAGATCGTAAGGAGGTGAAAGGAAAAATATTTTCAAAAAATCTAACATGACGACTGACATATACTCTACCTGACTTAGGTTCAAGACAACGATACCCTTTATAGCCAGATGCATAACCAATAAAAACACAATGAACAGAACGGGCTGAGAGTTTATTTGCGGATGAGGCAGAAATATTGGGAAAACAAGAGCACCCAAACACACGCATGAAGGCATAATCCGGAGATTTTTGAAAAAGTCTTTCATATGGAGAAGAGTGACCGAGTAAAGGAGAGGGCAGCCTGTTAATAATATATGCAGCCGTAAAAATGGCATCTACCCAGAATTGACTAGGAATAGAAGCTTCAAGAAGCATAGTCCTAGTTAGTTCTAGTAGATGTCGATGTTTACGTTCAGCAACCCCATTTTGTTGAGGTGTGTCTGGACAGGATTTGCGAAAATAAATTCCCTGAATATCAAAAAATTGCTGCATATTAGAATTTACAAATTCACCCCCTCCATCACTTTGAAAAATTTTAATTCTAGTATTAAAAAGATTTTCAACTAAAGCTTTAAAATTTTTAAAATGAAGAAAGACTTCTGCCTTGGTGCGCATGGGGTATAACCAAGTATAGCGAGAAAAATCATCAATAAAACAGACATAATATTTAAAACCCAAATTTGATAAGACAGGAGATTGCCAAACATCAGAATGAATTAATTGCAAAGGCATAGTAGAATTATGACTAGCATCCATAAAGGGTAAACGTTGAGATTTGCCTAATCGGCAAGAAATACAGTCATGAGAAAAACTAGAGCTACTACATATATGGTGCTGACTTTGTAAAGTACGTAAAATAGAAGTGCCACAGTGGCCTAATCTACGATGCCAAATGGGGCCAGACAAAGCTAGAGAAGACAAGGCAAACGGTGGCTGAGAACGGAGGCTGACTGGATAGAGATGACCATGACTAGGTGCTTCCAGAAGGACCTTCCCCGAAATTTTGTCCTTAACAAAAAAGGAATTTTTATCAAAAATTACGACACAGTTGTTATCAGCACAAAGTTTTTGAATAGATAACAAATTAAATTTAATGTGAGGCACATGAAAAACAGATTTTAGCGTGAGAGGACGATTGGAAGAATTTAAATGAACATCTCCAATATTAGCAATGGGAAGTTTAGAGCCATTAGCAACACTAACTAAAAGTGGTCCAGTGTAAATTGATTTATTAACTAGAATACCTTCCGTAGGAGTCATATGAGCTGAAGCTCCAGAGTCAGGATACCATAAAGCAGTATTTGAGTCACCATTATTAGAAGTCAATAGAGCTGGCGCAGACGGTGGAGCATACCGAGAAGGACACTGAAGCGCAGAGTGACCTGCAGAGAAACAAAGCTGACAGACAACAGGCGGTGGAACAGACCCAAGAATGCCCTCACCCGATGAAAAACCTGCAGAGCTAGCATGAGTATCATAAATAAAGTAGGGATTAATATTTAAAGTTGACAAGACAGAATTACTAGCAGAACCTGAAGTGCCCGGGCGAGTAGATTGCACCCCCTGAATAGAAGCCGGATGTTGTGAGAAAACTTGCGGTCCGAATCCCTGCTGCTGGCCAGAACCAGAGGCTGCCGGGGATCCTCCATGAGATGGCTGAGGTCCGGCCGGCTGCTGTGCACCAAAAGACGTCGCGGCCTGGTGCTGAAAGCTATACGGCTGTTGTGGATAACCTCTGCCGCGACCTCGGCCCTGGCGACCGCGTCCCCTGCCGCGGCCTCCCCTGCCGCGAGCAGCATATCCAGCCGGTGGCTGCCCCCCAGCTGCAGCTACCGCAAATGCTTGATGACCAATGGCTGCCTGCTGTTGACGCTCAGACAGAAGTTGTTGTTCTGCTTCTAGCAAACGCGGTTCCAAAATGTGGAAGGGAAATTGCTCGGGAAATAAAGAGACCGTAGTAACAAGAGACTTATAATCCGGTCCCAAACCAGCGAGAATAGATTGAAGCAGTTCTTTATCCGAGACAGGAGAATTAATTGCCGCTAGAGCATCAACTAAATTCTTGATTTCCCTTAAATAACTTTCCATTGATTGGGTCTCTTTCTTTTTAAGAGATGACAGTAATCGTTTAAGTTCCATGCATCGGGGTAGACTGGCAGACATAAATCTAGTCTGAAGTCTAGCCCAAATAGCAGCGGAATGTTTTAAATCATGAACATCAACTAGCACATCCCGGGTTAGAGTAGCAAACAACCAACATCGAATTGTTTGATCTACTCGGAGCCAATAATAATATTCTGTGTTTGGAACTTGACGATTCTGAAAATCAACATTGTACATAGGGGGTACCTGAATTGAGCCATCAACAATTCCAAAGAGACCTTGAGACACCAGGAAAGATTCAAACTGAGTACGCCAGGTGAGATAATCCTCGACTGCCTTCAATTTGATGGTGACAATTTGAGAAACAGTAGTGATATGGGAGACTGACTGAGCAAGAGCAGACATCGGGGATCCAAAACCCGGTTGATCCACTGGCCGAATTACCCCTGGAGAGCCAGAAAAGGTGGATCCGAAAAAGGAAGGGGCTGCCTCCTGGACCGAACCAGTGAGAGGAATTTGAGGTGGAATCGGTGGTGGAGGGAAGAGGCTTGCCTGCGGCTGGAGTGAAGGTGGCTGCCACGGGAAGCTCTGCGGCATAGGCTGAAACAGAGGAGTGTGATCAGTCACAGAGAAAATTGGTGGTGGGGGAAAATTAGGGAATAACGTCGATGATGTTGGCATCATTCCCGGCGAACCAACGACACGAGAGAAGGCAGCGGCAGAGCGTGGTGTAGAGAACTCTGGCGTAGCGGTCATCTGGATCGGAATTGATGAGGTTGCCGGCGTCATGGAGGAAGGGACTGCTGCGGCAGCCGAGCTCATGGCGGAGGAAGCCATGGCTGCGGCACTAGAATCGGCCGAAGATGAGGAAGAACTCATATCGGCGGAAGCGTGAGTTCTAGAGGAAAAAAAAAATTAGGTCTGGGCTCTTGATACCATGTGAAATAATAGGAAAAGGGTACTCCAATAGGAGTCCTGGCAGGTATATTTATATTAAATAAGAGTTACCAAAAAACACAAGGATTCCTAATTTATATTAACTATTACGTACTGCCAACTACCATTTGCGTCGAATCAATGACTACCAACAGCTTAACTTCGGTTGTTCTGGCCCTGCCATGGCTTCTCGCCGCCATAGCCTTGCTCGCCAAAATACACCAAACACGAAAACGGAAAACTCCCCCAGGTCCACGGCCATGGCCGATCATTGGCAATTTGCACCTCCTCAGCTCCCTCCCACACCAATCCTTACACTCACTCTCCCAAAAGTACGGAGACTTGATGCTCCTCAAGTTCGGCTCCACCCCTGTTCTGGTTGCCTCATCTCCCGAAACAGCCGAGCTTTTCCTGAAAACCCACGACGCCGCCTTCGCCTCTCGGCCCGCCACGGCGGCGGCCGCGCACACCTTTAACGGCTCCGACCTGACCTGGTCTCCTTACGGGCCGTGGTTGCGCCAGGGGCGGAAGATTCTCCTCTCCGAATTGTTCACGCCTCGGAAGCTCGACTCGCTCGAGTACATCCGCGTTGAGGAAGGGGCGGCTCTTATTTCCGGCCTTAATGCGGCGGCGGCGACGCCGGTGTTGCTTAGAGACCATTTGGTGAGCCTGACCTTGTCCATTTCCATGAGGGTAGTTTCAGATAACAAACTGCACGGCGTCAAAGATGGCGGCGGCGACGAAACGTCAAAGACGACGGCGCTGATGAAGAAAGTGAGTGGGCTTCTTGATGAGTGGTTTCTGCTGAGTGGGGTGATCAATGTTGGGGATTGGGTGCCGTGGCTGAGCCGCTTTGACCTGCAGGGGTATGTGAAGAGAATGAGAGCGCTCAGCCATGAGTACGAGCAGTTTCTGGACTCTGTGATTGAAGAGCACGGGGCGGGGGCGGCGACGAAAGGCGGCGTTGACCGGAAGAAGCGGGATTTGGTGGATGCATTTTTAGAGCTAGCTGATGCTCCGAATCGAGACCCAGAAGTCGCCCTCACCCGCCATCGCATCATGGGGCTAATACATGTACGTGCCGTTCCAAGCCATTCATTTTTAGATATTGAATGCATAAATCACTCCACGTCCCTTTCAAGAAACTTTACCTAATTTCTTTTTTTGTCTATTCCTAGAAAGTTTATCATCTCCTTAATAAAGGGTTAATGAAGTAAAAAAGATAGATAAAAATACATACTCCCTTCCCCTTCAAAGGTCGTCATATTTCTTCATTTTTGGACGTCCCAATTTTTTTGTCATTTTCCTTTTTAAATCTCAGACACACAATTTTTACTTTATTATTTTTTGTACCGGTCAAACTTAGACAAAATTTTAAGGGACGAAGGTAATACAGGTATATGTTACTTCCGTCCCAAATTGATTTACAAAGTTAACTTTTTTCTTTTCAAACAGTTTTATTTTATTCACTTAATTATGATATCAATTTTTATTTATATTATAATTTGAATTTTACAATTCTATACAGATTTTAATGTTTTTTAAATATGTAAATTTTAACTATTACAAATTGAATTAATTATCCATAGGAAGGATTTAACTTTAATCTTAGTTGATAAAAAATGTTAACTATCCAAATGAATTCGGGACGGAGATGAATATGAGGAAAAAATTCCAAAAGTATAATTAGGTATGTTTTTTACCATCTTATGACTATAGAAGGTTTTAAAAGATGACATTCGTATACGCCGTATATGAAGAGAATTTAAAGACCAAAATCACCTTAAAAACAAAACAGCATAGAACTATAGAAGGTAGGGGTGGGCAAACGGTTCTAGAACTGCGGGTCGGGGCGGGTAATGGCGGGTCGGGGCGGGTAATGTGCGGTTCTTAGTTTAAGAAAAAGAAAACGGGGCGGGGCGGGGCGGGTAATAATTAACACAGGTTCGGGCCGGTTCCCTAATTTCAAAATAACGGGTACCCGGCCCGGCCCGTTAATTTATACTTCAGTTTTAAAATTACCCTAAGCCCAGTAAACCTTCTTAAATCATCTTGAGCCCAGTTAACCATATATCCCAGCGACCAGTTAACCTCTATTCTCTGAGTCTCTATTGCGAAATTTGAAGAGATCGAGGCCCTGAAGATCTGAGTGAAAGTGTGAGACATAAACAGACAAATCATTGCTCCGAGCCTGATATCCGGCGACTTACCTGCGAGGCCGAGACTTGACTGAGATCCTTCGATTGATTGCTAGGCTGTGAATTGTGAACATCGTGTTCTACGGTTTAAGACTCCTTAGTTTGCGAGGCCGCCACTTCTATTTGTTAAGGTGTGTGTTTTACTCTACTAGATAGTTTATAAGATGCCCTGCGCTGCATCTTTAATCTTTATGAGCAAATCGTTACCTCTATCAAGTAATCTAGCTACTCTATTCGAAGTATTTAGGGTTGTATCAACTAAAGATATGATCGATTTTGAATTTCTGTGCGACCTATTTTTCAACCAGGACCTCCAAAGCTATTTTTCTTATAGCTTTGTAATTGTAATACGGAGTAGCTTTGTCCTCTTTCATTCATCATAAAATTCAATGCTTTGATTTTATTAATTAAAATGTAATACACTCATTGGCATTACTGCATTAGATTTCCTAAAATTTTGTTTAACTTTTGCTGCTAAAGTAATGTTTGTTTTAATATTAACTTACTACTTAGTAGTAACTACTAACCAGATAAAATTCACATTTAGAGCTTCCATTTGTTCCTGCTTGTTGTTAATGATACTGAATGCTATCCAGGGATACACGTGGCCGGGTAATCCTGCAGTATTTTAGCTTATGTAGTCTATACATTACATAGAATACAAACTGCAGGAGTTAGAAATAGGATCTCATGTACATTAGTAGCTTCATACGTTATTAGTTTGGTATATTGTCAAAAGCGTCACTTTGTTTGTGAATATAATCTATGAAAATCAGTTCTGCTGTCACTTTGTTTGTGAATATAATCTATGAAAATCAGTTCTGCCATTCGACTCTAATACTCCGTACATTTTTACACTTTTGCTAAATTTTGGATTCATCTTTCAACAACAACAATCCAGGAACCGAAAAACCCGGACCGGACCGCCCCGTTTCAAACGGGCCGGGTAAGGTCCGGTTCCTATTTTCAAAATTGCAATACCCGGACCGAACCGACCCGTACAATGGAACCGGCGGTTCCATTTTATTTTGCATTACCCGCCCCGACCCGGCCCGTGCCCACCCCTAATAGAAGGTCAACATCTTTGAAAGGTGGCTAAACTCGAATAAAAATTATTACCTCCATCCCCCTCAACTTTACCAAGTTGAAGTTGGGTGGGAAACTTAAATACTAAAAACAGTGTGGTTGATGTTTGCGCAAATAAGAGAAAAATGAACATAACCACAAATTCATTGGTTTAAAAGAAAAGTAACAAAGTTTTTTGGAACAAACACAAAGGAAAGTTGGCAAAATCCGTGGGACAGATGGAGTAATAAAAAAGGGCGGCTCATGTGGATAGCTAGACTTGCACAAAGTCGAGCTAGGCCCGAGCTTCTTATAATTATTTGTCCATTGGTGTGGGCAGGCCCGGCCCAGCCCGCAAAATAGCCCAACTACATGTCCATATCTACCCATATGAGAGGGCCGGATAGTTCACCGGACTGCCCATACTTTTCAATTTTTCAAAAATATATAAAAATATTTTAGTGCTTCTAAAATAATATTACAACATGTAAAAATTGTCTATGCGCATATAGAGCACGTTAGGTGACATTGGTTTTCAGTTTATCAGGCTTACCTGTCATCTTTTTCATCAAACACGTAATTTTTATTTCGCTTATAGGTTGTAATGTCTGAAGTTACTATAGACGATCATTTTAGCTATTTTTCATTTTTTTTATTTAATTAATAAAATATATTTTATTTTTTTCATAAATCAACAAAATCATCAAATCCAACTATTTCAGTCGAGACCTCATAAATTTCAGCAGATCAGCCAATGTAGCCGATTTGAGTATGAACTTATTGTTCGATATTAAAGACATAATATTTAAAAGTAATATGAAATTACATTATTTTCATATTAGAATTTTTTATAAAGTATAAATTTTTTATGGTGCATATAATTAGTATGAAGTATAGTATAGAATTGGAAAATAAAATATGACGAATTATATATACATATATGCATATGTGTGTGAGTAATTTTACATCCGAAAAATCCAAAGGCGAAAGGTGGTTTGGAGGTCATCTTGACGAGGCGCACCTATTTTTCTTTTACTTTTCCAGGCACTTTTGAAAATCGGAGTTACTTTTAACCGTCTTTCTCAGACGTTTTTAACGGCGTGACCCTCTTGTGATAACGGAATTCAAACACATGAACCACTTTCTAATAAATGTCTATATTTTATTCTTTCAACTTGTATTTTATTTTATATTTCTATATTCTTACAATTTTAACGGTTGTGGCGGTAAATTGAACAAGTTTGTTGGGTTCAGGGACCTATTTAACCCCTTAAATTGACACGTAAGATGCACAATTGGTATCTGATCAAGTGATTGTCGGTGATCGGACTTTTACCTACAAAAAGTGAAATTTGAACTTTTTTGTCGAATTCAGAGGGTTAATGAGAGCTTTTTAGAGTTCAGGGGACAAATTGAGCATTTTGTACGAGTACAAGGGCCTATTTGATTTTTTAGCCTTTTAAATATAATTATATAACCAATCGTGAGTTTTTTAGACAATTTTTTTTGAAAGGACAAATTTGTTTTAATAGCAATAAACTAGGAAACCACATGTACACATTAAATTGCATTTTCTATCAAATGAATCTCTTATGAGGCAATTTTAATGTGTCCTTACTAGAAAAATGTTGTAAGATTAGGACAAATTTCAGAGTAATACGATTTTGGATTACTACTTCACTTCTAGCATTAAATTAATTAATTACATGTTAAGAACTTTAGATTGCACATACTATGCAGGATGTGTTGGGTGGTGGCACTGATACATCAGCAGCAGCGGTGGAATGGGCGTTTCAAGAATTGATTAGGAAACCAGATGTAATAGAAAAGGCAAACGCAGAGATGGATAGAGTGATTGGCAGAGGGAGATGGGTTGAAGAGAAAGACTTCTCCCAATTGCCTTATAATGAAGCCATCATCAAGGAAACATTTAGGTTGCATCCACTTTGCACACTACTTCCACCCCATTGCTCCATGGAAGATTGCAGCCTCGACGGTTACGAGGCAGTCAAAGGAACGATTGCCCTCGTCAATGTCTGGTCTATTGGAAGGAACCCAAAGTATTGGTACAGAGCTGAGGAGTTCCTGCCTGAGAGGTTTTTGGAGAAAGATATTGACACGAAAAGACTAGATTTTTCACTTCTACCTTTTGGGTCAGGGAGGAGAAAGTGCCCTGGGTATAGCCTTGGAATGAAGATTGTGCGGGCAACTTTGGCCAATTTATTGCATGGCTTTAACTGGAAACTAGCAGGAGAGATGAAGCCTGATGATGTGTCTATGGAAGAGGTTTATGGCTTGACCACTCACCCAAAATTCCCACTGTCTTTCATCATTGAACCAAGGCTTCCTGCACATCTTTACTAATTAATCTATATCAAAGCTTTTTTAAAGCTATTGAATAATATACATTGAAGAGATTTAATGTATTGAATGATAGGTTTTAGAGATTTGGTACAATTTATGTTGTTGCTTGGAAAAAGCACACATGAGGGGAATGTATGTAACAATAATATCACCTTTATTATCTTGATTATGTGAATTATGGGTGAAATAGAGATAATCTCACATTGTATCTGATTTCATTTAAAAGAGACAACTATGTAGTTGTTAACTTGTTATTAGTTCTTATATAACAAAATTAATATCAATTACACATGCTTCTCCCAAAATATTACTAAATTGAAACAAATTTCCAAAAATGTGATTACTTATAAATATTGACAAAAACGTGATTAACAAGGTCATATATTTGATAAAAAAAACGATGTCATCATTGTGATTTTTTTATATCACAACGATTTTTCATGTCACTATGAGTTGTCGTGAAACATGTCACTATGACCATTTCTGCTCAGTGAAACTGCCGCCGGTTACGTCACTAACCACCACCATCGTTAGCTACCGAAGGTATGACTATCACCCCAACAATGACCTCCCTTAGCCCCAGTCCCCCATTCTCAGCGCCTGCAGAATCACTGCCCAACACCACACCCGCCCCTGCAAGAGCGGCATCCCACAACCACAACCCACCCCCGGCAACTAGTGCATCCTAGAGACCCCTAATGATTGAGAGGATTTCGTAAATTCATACTCTAATTAGGTGCGTTAATATTTTCTATCTATGAATTCGTAAATTCATATCCTAATAGGTGCTAATATTTTAGACCTGAATTTTGTAAATTCATATTCTAATTAATGGAAACTCCCATACTTTGGGAACCGATACAGAAAATCTCGTCTATCCGTCAATTCATCAAATTATTTGACATTTGTCATAAGAGTCCCGCTTCGTGTACACGTCGGGTTACACGCCGGTCAAATTGTCTGTGTATAGACAATTTGACCGGCTACACAAACAACTTGACCGGCGTTTTATGAAGAAAATCGATTTTCACCTAGACAAAAATAAATAGTTGTCTACATCACAGACATTTAATTTGGACGAGATTTTTTCATAAAATGTCTCTGATATAGACAATTAATTTTTGTCTGTGTGAAAATCGGTCTTCTTCAAAAAACGCCGATCAAATTGTATGTACACAGACAAATTGATCGGCGTGTAAAACTGGCTTGTACAAAAGGAATTTTCCTTGTCATATTGCTGAATAGAAAATAAAATAATGTGGTGACAAGAGAGTAAATATTACTACCCAGTTTCTACACGTGGGCTAAAATATCATCGTGCAAATGGAGAAATAAATCTTCCATGAAAATTTACGAGGCTAGGTTCATCTCTTCTTCATTACTAGATCAACTTTAAAAACGAAATGATACAATGAAGAGTTCATTTAGAAAAATTAACGTACAACAATGTCATCATCCCGAAACCTGCAACATTCATCAAACTCCAACAAGAGCCATAAGCTAGTCATTTTATTCTTCCTCTTAATCCTCCTCCTCTGTGTATTAAGACAGAGACTTGTGGCTTCCAACCAGCAAACCAAATGGTCGCCGCAGAATCCCCAAGCATTCGAGAAAATCCCGCCTTCGCTAGCAGACGCGTTAGTCCATTACGCCACCGCAAACCGCACTCCCCAACAAACCTTTGAAGAAATTTCGCTCACAAAAACCATCCTCCAGAGAAGGTCCCCATGCAACTTCTTGGTCTTCGGGCTCGGATTCGACAGCCTGCTGTGGAAATCCCTGAATCACAATGGGCGGACCGTTTTCCTAGAAGAGGACAGCCAGTGGATCGAGCGCGTGAAGTTGATGAAGCTGTCTCTCGAAATATACCACGTGGAGTACGACACTCACGTTGAGGAGGCCGTGGAGCTGTTGAGGATTGGGAAGACGGATGAAGAGTGCAAGAAGGTGATGGACCCGAGATACTCGAAATGCAGACTGGCTCTGAAGAACATGCCCAAGGAAGTGTATGAGACAAAATGGGATCTGGTCATGGTGGATGCACCAAAGAGCTGGACCAAGGAGCTGCCCGGAAGGATGAGTGTGATCTACACGGTTGGGATGATGGCAAAGAACAGAGAAGAAGGGGCCAAAACTGATGTGTTTGTGCATGATGCGGAAAGGTGGGTGGACAACAAGTTTTCAAGGGCTTTTCTGTGTGAGGCTTACATGAAGGAACAAGTTGGGATGCTTAGGCACTTCACCATCCTTAGTCACAAAACTGGCTCCAATATGCCCTTTTGTCCATAGCACCCAAAAGCTTAACTATTAAGCTTCCACGCGCTAGCATTTGACACTATATTATGCCCCAACTTTTATACATTTCCCATTATATATCTTTTACTTTTCGCAATTTCAAACTTTATTCATTTTCTCTTTCAGTTTTTGGATGTAATATTGTATGTCTTTCAAACATGTGAGTTTCAATATAATGCATTCTTTAGTTGTAGAGTAATTCCGTTTTATATGTGGTTCTGTTCTATATATAGTCGTATCTGTAGGATATTTAAACTTGTTAATTATTTGTGTCACATTTGTTACATGTGTGTATTTGGTCCTTTTATCCCTAGTATGTTTTTTATTATCATTGCTTAAATGTTTAGTACGTGAGCATGTGAGTGGAAGTTGTCAAACTCCACATGCACGCACGTAGGAGTAATTTTAGGAGGGTGGTTGTTTCTTGATAACTGTTTGCGTGTGTATTTATGTTGGTGTGTGTTGATAGGGGTTTTTTCATCCGAAGAAAAAGGATTTTTCCCCTATGTTAATAGAAAGAAAAGATTGGAGTATATTTCCTGAGTGTTCTTGTTATCTTCCTTCATCAATTCATGTGTGTTAAATTTTAGTTTGTTCAAGTATAGAAGATCATAGCAAAGCTGAATTTCTGGGGCCATTTCCTACATTTGGTATCAGAGACAGCATCTAAGATCGAACCATGGCACGAGACACACAAGAAGATAGTAGCAGTCAAGAGAAAGGAGACACTATCACACTCAGATATCCCATGCTCACACAAACGAACTATGCAGCCTGGGCCATCAAGATGGAAGTGTTTATGATGGCTCAGGGAGTTTGGGATGCTGTGGAAGGTAAAGGAACAATTGAGGCACGCAAGGATAAGATGGCCTTGGCTGCTATCTACCAGGGCATCAGTGAAGACACTCTACTCCAACTGGGGGCTAACAAAACAGCTAAAGAGGCATGGGACACGCTGAGAACCATGAACTTAGGGGCAGAAAGAGTGAAAGAAGTCAGGACACAGACTCTTTGGAGAGAATTCGAAGCTATGAGAATGAATGATGGAGATAGTGTAGATGCCTACTCTGGAAGGCTTCAGGTAATTGTTACTAAACTCAGGGGGTTGGGTAACAAAGTTGAAGAAGAGCAAGTGGTAAAGAAACTACTAAGGTCTGCCTCCCCAAAACTGATGCAAATTGCTTCCACAATAGAAGAATTTGGTGATCTTAAGGTTAAGACCACAGAAGAAGTTATTGGCTCACTGAAAGCCCATGAAGAGAGATTGAATGGATGTTTATCAAATGATGATGACACTGTCCTTCTCACCCAAACTGAGTGGAGAGCAAGAGAAGAAGTAGAAAATCAAAGAAGAAACTCAAGAGAAGGTGGAAGTTCTAGAGGGGGAAGAGGCAGAGGAAGAGGGAGAGGCAGATCAAGCTATGGATCTCAAAGGAAAGGAGAAGAATCAAATCAGAGAAGGAAGTTTGACAAGGCAAAAATCAAATGCTATAACTGTGGCAAAATGGGGCACTTTGCCTCGGAATGCCAGTCAGAAGAAAAGGAGGAACAAATTAACCTTGCAGAACAAGAAGATGAAGAGGAACCAGCTCTTTTGCTACTAGAATCATGTGAATTAACCAAATCACATGATTCAATAGAAGATAAGGAAGGACAAACCTCAAGTAGTCAAGCAAAAGGGTCATCCGGGTGGTACTTAGACACAGGTGCTAGTAAACATATGACTGGTGAGAGAAGGTGGTTTACAGAACTAGATCACTCAACTCAAGGGAAAGTGAGGTTTGGAGATGGGTCTATGATTAGTATACATGGACAAGGCTGTGTGATCTTCCAATGCAGCAATGGAGAACACTTGGTCCTTTCAAATGTGTACTATATTCCAAAATTGAAAAGCAACATCCTGAGCATTGGTCAACTGGATGAAAATGGAAATGAAGTTACAATCAAAGGAGGGGAACTGAGAATCCATGACAGAAACCATAGACTCATTATGAAGGTGAAGAGGCAACCTAATAAGCTGTTTATTGCAAATCTGAAGGTGGCAGACAAAGTGTGCTTGCTAACTAGTATGAGTGACAAGGCTTGGCTTTGGCATGCAAGGTATGGTCATCTAAATTTCCAGGCCTTGAAGAAACTCTCAAATCAGAAAATGGTAGTAGGTATGCCTGATATTACTCAAGTAAATCAAGTATGTGATTCATGCATGATAAGCAAACAACATAGAACCTCATTCCCACAGAAATCAAGTTATAGGGCTGAAGAAAGACTAGAGCTTGTACATGGAGATCTTTGTGGACCCATGACACCTCCCACCCCAGGAGGAAACAACTATTTTATGCTTTTAGTAGATGATTTCACAAGGTATATGTGGATTTCATTGCTGAAACATAAAGGGGATGCCTTCAGTGCATTCAAGAAGATCAAGCATATGGCAGAAAATGAGATATGTATGAAGCTGAAATGCTTCAGAACTGACAGGGGTGGAGAATTCAATTCAGTTGATTTTAAGAACTATTGTGATGAAGAAGGAATCAAGAGACATTTCACTGCACCATACTCTCCCCAGCAGAATGGAGTAGTGGAAAGGAGAAACCAAACTGTTATGGGGATGGCCAGAAGTCTCTTGAAAAGCAAGAATATGCCTGCAAAATATTGGGGTGAAGCTGTGAAAACTTCAGTATATTTGCTGAATAGGGCACCAACTAGATGTGTGGAAGGAGTAACCCCCTACCAAGCATGGTATGGGAGAGCACCAAACATTCAGCACCTAAGAGTGTTTGGATGCCTAGCACACACAAAAATTGTGAAGCCCCATCTCAACAAGTTGGCTGACAGGAGTCTGAAGACCATACTACTTGGATATGAGGAAGGGTCTAAAGCATATAAGTTGCTAGAGCCTGAAGAAGGAAAGATCATTGTAAGCAGGGATGTGGTGTTTGAGGAAAGCAAAGGGTGGAACT